AAAGCCACGAGAGAGTTAGTGAAGAAAATGGAGTGCTCTCTCTTCCGTAAGTAGTATCCTCAACCTTCCTCTTCTGATAGTAATAGTGTGATCAAGGAATTTTCCAAACATCTAAAAAGAGACTGGGGTATGAATTAGAAATGTTAAATTTAGATAATCAGCTAATCGAATAGTCAATGGAATTTCTATTAGCTACTCAATTAGTCGATAAGGGGGCGCTCACTATCCTGCTTTAACTCTGCCTTTGAAATGTACAGGGGCTGCAGGCGGGGCATTTGCCTGGGGAGAGCAGGATGAGGGGTTTGAGTCCCACCTCCCCTCCACACCCCCTAGGAGCTGCCAGACAGCCAACAGAGGCTGCCCCAGGGATGGAGCTGCAGAGCTAAGGCAGACTTACTCCTGCACCACTCCTGAAAGCAACTGGCATGTACAGCAGCAGCTCCATGTGCTGCCCCTCATCCACAGACACCGACCCCACAGCTTCCACTTGGCCACAGTTCTCCATTATTGATCATTTCCCCTGCTGCACTTCTGTCTCTCCTGCCCCCTCGTCCCCCGCCCCGTGAGGAGGCAGTGCTGGGAGAAAACCAGCTCGCCCCCCCCCCCCCCCCCCCCCGATGCCTCTGATACAGAGGCAGCAAGGGGAGAGAAGCAACTAGTCGCATATATCCCTAGTATGAATGAGTGCAAGGAAGCTAAAGCTCAATTCTCCTAGTAAGTGTTGGAAAGAGGGTAGTTTGGAAAAAAAGCAACTGGAGTATATGGGAAAGACTATGACTGACCTTGCAGATGAAAGTGTTTGAGAATCTGAACAGACACCTATGTTGCAAGTATGAGTAACTAGTGCACAATTATTGACAGATCATCAGTTTTTGGCAACAAGAAAGATGCACTTATTTGTACTTAGCAATGTCTCTTGGATATAGTCCTCTATGACAACTGATGCTTTGTCATCTCTAGACTAGTTTACTGAAATACAATTCTTGGGACATCTTAAAAATCTATTCAAAATAAAGACTATACAATGGGGAAGGCTGCTTTTTACCTAGAGTGTCAAACATTGCACCATGCTTATTGATCTGAATTGGCTGCTTGTTCAGCAAAGGTTTAACCCAGTGTTTCTCAACCTTTTTTTATATAAAAATATAAAATTATAAGTACCCCCAGTACCTACAGTTTTCAGACTTTTTTTTAAAACCGTTGCAACACATTTGTTTAAACAACTTAATTGTAGCCCGACAGATGATGAAATTTTGGGGTGTAAAGAGTACAAAAATAACAAAACACTATAAAACATAACAAAAATTCAGCCTTCTCCAAATTTCAGTTGTGTTGATGTAACCCCCCCCCCCCAGACTCCTCTCAAGTACCCCTAAGGGTCCTCTCGTACCACTGGTTGAGAAACACTGGTTTAACCTATGACTCTGAACAGCCCAGGTTCTGCCTACTCAAGAGACTCTCTCCATGCCATATAGCCAGAGTTAAGCTTGGTGTAGGAACTGAGCTGACGTGTTCTTGATTTGAAAGAACTGTTGGCAGAACAGTCTCTCATTTTGGAATTAGCTCCAACCTTGGTCAAAAATAGCTCTGCAGAACCTCCTGCAAAGTTCAAAGTTAAGGGAGCTTCCAAAAGGGACACCTTGCTTGAGAGTTTTAGGCAGAACATTTTCCTAATTTTTCTTGTATTTCAAGCCTAGATCAGTGTTTCCCAATTTTATTTGGCTATGGAACCCTTTTAAACTCAAAAGGATTTTGCAGAACTCCTAACAACAGTCATATATATGGAGCTGAAAAAGTAGATCACAAATAAGTAAGGATAATAATAAACAAATGCTAAACAAAGTCATGACATAGTATTATTGTTATGTATTGTAGATATGTAGATTAATCTACCAGTCAATTTGCGTATGTCATGGTTAAATTTAAATATAAGCAATCACACGATTATACTGAAGTATTCGCTAAAGCACTGCCTGCGAACTCTCATACAAGCAACTGGTTTGACAGCTGAAGCTTCAACTTTGTCAGACGTGGCGCTAGTATATGCATATTCAGTCACCCAGGTGATCCATGCTCCCTGAGAGTGAGTACAGAGATTTACAGTGGCATATAACAGACGATCACACCATTGACTGACTGCTCATGTAGGGCTGAGTAGTGACATCGTCCCCATTCTCTGGCTAAGCTGGCATTACACAAGGACACTTATCGTGGCAAACAAATGAAAATGGTTTTCAATCAAATTCATAAATGCTTAAATATTAATTATTTTTTTAAATCATAAAATGTTATTGTAATGGAATTTTCTCACTAAAGCCTTATTTTCACTTCGCGGAACCCCGGGAACACCATTTGGAAAACACTGGCTTAGATCAATTGCTGCTTTATCTGGCAGAAGTGGTCAATTTGTTTCTCTACCGAACAGAGCTTTAGAATCCATTGTCCATCTCCTAGATGGATAGTTATAAATCTTATTATCACTTTAATAACTTGCAGGTATAGCAGTTAAGAATGAAAGCCAAGTTTCAAAGAAGCCTATAGTATTTGTGTAGGTTTATTAAAAAAAAAAAAAAATTCCACATCTGCAGAAACCAGTGCATGAAAAAAAAATTAAGACTATTCAGGAATGCTAGCCTAAAGGCTTCCCCTCAACTTACAGGGAGGGAACATCACTTGCAGTGTTCTACCCTTGCTGATCCCAGGATATTAGAGAAACAAGGTGGGTGAGGTAATATCTTTTATTGGACCAAGAAAAACAAGCTTGAAAGCTTGTCTTTCTTGGTCCAAAAATAGATATTACCTCACCCACCTTGTCTCTTTAGTATTGAGGAAGAAAGAATTGAGTGAGAATACATTTCTAGAATCAGTCGCTCAAATGGTAGAGGTATCAGGGACTCTAGTTTTATAGGCAATTAAGTCACGTTATTAACTTTTAAGCAGTTACATAATTTTATGTTAAACAGTCTAACCACCTACTTTTTAGCATGTATTCTTTTTATTACTGTGCACGTGACAGTTAAGAAGCACCCACTCTTTTGTAACATACCAGCATGTGTTACTCACCTATTCAACATGATTCAACTTTTGGAGACTTTTCTGTTGAACTGGGTGCTAACTGAGCAGATTCAAAGAATTAATTAGTTAACATTTATATTGCAGATGTTTCTAGAAGCCCCTGTTGTGCACGGATACACTACAATGATTTTATTCTCCTTGGTGTTTCCCCAGCCTCTTCTTCCAAATCATCTAAATAGAGGTCCTCACTGAAGGTTACATTTTTAGCTTTTACTAATCACAGAACTGACATGGTGAGTGACTTAACTATTAATTTTTAAAACTTTTCTTTTTTTGCACAGAAATTGTGTCTATTGAAACCTTAAGATCTACCTCAAGAATAGGGTAGATCATGCAGTTTGGACAAAAAAAGTTGACTGTAACTTAGTTTTAGACTGGTTCTGGGGGAATTCCTCTATTCAGCTTAATTTGCATGCGTCAACAGCAGCAATGCTGCACATGTTCAATGAAGTGATAAGGCCCAGGCCCAGCATTACAATGTCAACACTACCTATAAACCTTCCTAAATTTGGAGTGAGAAAAATCTTTAGAGACCAGCTGCCAAGAAGAAGGGATAGCCATGGAGACTGAAGCTAGGGCTGAGTCAGAAGTGAGAGAAACACACACACAGAAAACTGGACATTTAGCACACCAGCAGGATATTCCACTCAGAAAGGTACAAATCCATTTCAGAGGGAGAATTTAGCAGTAGGAGAGGGGATTATGTTTTGTGCTGATACCTGTGGGAGTATGGAGTTAATAGCAAAGAGAATCACTCCATAGCTTCCCTGAGCAAATGGAATTGCTGACCTCTATGTATGGTACCTAACTGGCATCCCAGCCATTACTGAAGTGATCTGAGGAAGTGGGTCTGGCCCGTGAAAGCTCATCACCTAAACAAACCATCTTGTTAGTCTTTAAAGTGCCTGTTTTTGATTACTGAAGTAGTTCTAGGCATACAATCATTCCATTTAAAACACACACAAAAAGCACACAGGAAAGCATTCATGTAACACTGAACCCTGTTAAAGTGAATGTTTTATATCAAACATTTCAATTTACTCATGAACAACTAGCATCACTCCTTTCAGTAAGATACCAGACACATGACAATACTAATTAACAATACTTTCCACGAGACTACTTGTTGACCAGGAGACCTTTTTAAGAGGACTAGATGGAGTGTCCCAATGGGTCACTGATCCGCACTCTACCCCTCTCCTTGCCACGGGGCATCTTTGGAGCCGTTTGAATTTCACCTACTCCTGGGCCTGAGTCGCCGCGTGAAACCCGATAGCCCTGAGGACAGACACGGAGCCAGGCAGCGCTCTCACCTCTAGGATCGAGCACGGGGCGAGCAAGGCGGCTCCTTTACCTAACACAGAGCAGTTCCTGGCGGCACTGCGCACTTCTACTGCGCTCCAGGCTCCCCTGCTCAAGAGAGGCCACCGGAGCCCCGCTCCCGCGGGCGGCCGGGCTTACATATGGCCGGGCGGGGGGGAGCTCAACGCGCGAGGTGCGACACCAGCCCGTAGGACGCTCTGGAGAGTGCTGCGGCAGGACAGGGAAGCCTTCTCCCTGGGCTGGGCCA